GAAGTCTCGTGAAGGTTGTGCCATTTTTCTGTGCAATGGCCCCATTTACTGGCGTTCGAAGCGCCAGACCACGACTGCGACTTCGACTGCAGAGGCTGAGTACATGGCTGCACACAGTGGTGCTGCCAAGGGTGTTGTGCTGCGTGAACTGATCAACGAGTTGCTCATTTTGCCTGAACTCAAGCCACTTGTCTACTGTGACAACCAGCCTGCTATTGCCAACGTGATCAATGGCAATGCCCAGCGCGGACAACACCACACGCTGATCAAGTTTTATGCTCTGCGCGAGATGTACGAGCGTAACCAGGTTGACATTGTTTATTGTCCGACCGACGACATGACGGCTGATGTTCTGACCAAGCCGTTACCCCGCGATGCTCATGAACGCCATATGCGTAAGTTATGCTTCTCTGCTTGAGGGGGAGTATTGGAGTGCAAGCATCGACCACCTGCCAGATCCCTCTGGAAGGATTGCATCAATGTACTCGACGATGTGCAGCTGCCGCCGCCCGTCGAGGAACCCTCTCGTACACTCTGGGTGTGTTTAGCCACCAGATTATAAGTACGGTCCCGCTGACCGTGAGTGGCATTTTCTTTTGGATATTTCCCTTCCTGTTTTCTATCGTTCTCTCCTGTGAGAGAAGTGCAATTGAACCGCTTTACTGTCTCAGCTCAAATCGTCTTTCAATAAGTGGGTGCACGACGAGCTTTTCCACTGCCACCGTGCAAAAAAGTCCGTCCGCATGAACCAACGTCGGTCCCCACGCGCATATGCAGTTGTGCAGTGTGCGTGTCGCTAATTCGTCCGTTTGATCGTGTCTGCCCAGGACCGACCAGGCCCGTCCCGGCCGTCACCTCATTCCTCCGTCCCCAACAGCTCGGCAGCCTTCGGTGCCTTCACCAGAGCCTTTGTGCTGATCACCCGGTGCCTCTGCCGCCGCCATTCCTTATTGCTTGTAGCGTCTTGCCTGCGACATCTTGGAGACCCAGGCCCAGCTTGACTCACCTTTTCGGTTTGTCTCGCTCTGACGGGCTGCACAGCGCTGCTTCACCCAGTACTGCACGCCTACGACCAACATGGCACATCCCCGACGCGAGTCCTTCATGCCCGACGCACACCTGCCCATGATGGCACCGCGTCGCGATTCCGTCATGGTGCAGGCAAATCCTCAACCCGGCTCTGCCACTCTGGCCTATGCTGCCGCTAGTGGCCCTGCTTCAAGCTCAGCTTTCCCCACCGACAGTTCTGGGTAAGACCCGCTCGGCTCGCGCTCCACCTGCTCTGTACCCCGACGCTGCCGCTTCGACACCGTTGATGAAGAGACTGTCAATTCTCCGTCACCGCTTTCCCTCCGACGGACGGGTCTCCCGCAACGCACATAAACACCCGCTTCCACCTGCACTTCACACGCGGACACGACTACCTCTTGCCCTCCTCCCGACCCTTGCACTTCATTCGATCCACCACCATCCCTTTTTACCCACTCGACACGACTCCCTCCGCCTCACGAGATTCAATGTGGCCAAACTCGCTTCCACGGCCTCCTCGTGTCTCGCTTTCTCATTCACCCCCACCGCCACCATCACACCCACCTGACCCGACGGCTTTAAGTCCTCGCAAGCTTTGCTTCCCCCGCATCCTCGTCCATTTTGTTTACCGCCGCCACCACCACCACCACCACAGATTTACCCCAGCGTCACCATCCGCCGCGCTTTGCTCTGCATGCACGTGTCCGTTTTTACGCATTGCGTCGAGGCAGCCACAGCCTGGTCCCTGTTACCATTGAGACTCGTCCCCCTTCTCTAGCCAATCCCTTTTGAGTGCCTTTCTGAATAGCGGATTCACCTTTTAATCCCCAGCGCTTGCGTGCCAGCGGGTCCCTCATGCCATCCCGGCCTTTTTGACGCGCACACATCACCTCCAGCCTCCTAGCTGCCCCTGATCTCTCCAGCGCGGGCTTACGCACCACCGGACCCACTTCACCCCTGCATCGCGGCCAGTCCTTCCCCGTCGCCAGCCCCTCAGCTGGCTCTGCGGCGTCCCCATCCAATATGGCCCATCCGGGGGCACTGCCAGACGCCAGGGCAACAGCGGGCGCCCCGCCATCCTCCATGTACTCCACGACCCCGGGCGTTTCCTATGTCTCTGGTCTGCCCGTGTCCTATGCCAACTCTCTGGCCTTTGGTCCACCCTCCTCCATGGCCTACACGCCCACGTCGACCATCCCAATGAGCTCAACCCCAGGCCTGCCCATGGCGTCGCCCGCTCCCCCGCACCTCATGGCCTCTCCGAGTGGACCGCCCTTTGCGTCGTCCATGATGGGGCATCCTCAGCACGTCTACGGCATGGTGTCTCAGCCCGTCTTTGCCAATCACGTCGGGTGGCATAGCCCCTCAGTTGCCCCAGAGTAAGCCCAACGCTCATGCTCCCTCTGAAATCCGTTACCCACCCTGCTCCTGTCTCAAAGAATTCGCTCCTTCAACACCCAGTACCCTTCACCCTCTCATCTTTGCCCGCTGCTGGGTACCACAGCTCGAGTACGCATGCCCTACGGGAGCAAGTCTCAACCCTCAAGGTGAGTCGCCCAGCTGGTGCTAAAACACTTTTCGTAGAGGCCCTTGTGGCCGATGGCTTGGCCGACCCCAGCACCTCAAGAACACGCATTCATCCTCATACTCCCAACCTGCACCTGCGCCTGTTCTGCTCTTCTTCTCTTCTCCTCGTTCGCTGTGCTCCCTTCCCCCCTTTCGCTGCGCTCCGTTCTCCTTTTCCTCATCCATCATGATAGATGCAGCAAGACAAACTGAGTCATCAATTGACTCGCATGAATACCGCCTTGGAGGAACTGACGCAATCCTCAATGAGCGCACGCGCTCAACAAATGCGCGAATCGGCTCAGCGTCAAGAACTCGATCAACGCTTGCAGGACGATCTGCACACGCTCGCCCAAGCCATGGCCCTGCTCATTCGCGAGGGCAAGTTTGACAGCAGTCATCCGCTGAACAAAACCATCCGCCCCAAACTAGAGAGCATGAACCCGCTCCGCCGTCGTGCTCTTCTTGGACGCAAGACCGTGCCCGAGGTACGCACAGGCCTGTCATTGCCGCATGGCATGGATCCACTCGCACACGTGCTGGACCTCAAAGCGGGGTGTGCTGGCGTCCGTTCCCGCCCATAGGAGGAGAGCATGATGGGACGGTGGTTGAACGAGCAAGCTCGGCGCCAGCTACCAGGCAGTTCCGAACCAGATTCGCAGGCGCTCTCTCAACGCCAGCGACACTCCTCCGAATCACACATGGAATTGCCTCTCATTGAGATTGTTCTTGACCGTCCTGCTTCCGGCATCTGGGGTTTTGATACAACCCCCGCGCCAGCCGCCGACGGCATGATTGTCGAATACATTGGTGATTCGGAAGTGGCTCGCAGCGGCCTCCGCCGATTTGATGTGATTCGAAAACTCAATGGAACCAACGTGATGGACATTGGCACCGCCCAGTTTCGCCATGCTCTCAACGACGCAGTTCGCGTAGTCTTGTCCGTCCACCGACAATCAGCCGACAGCGAAGCTTCTCGGTGAGTCTTCCTGCTCTTTGGCGCGACCCCGTGCTCAGATCCAGCAGAGATGGAAACAATGTCTGCGAGTGGCAACTTTGCTCAACTCGGGTTGTAGTACTGTTGTTGTATCTCACCCTTGATCGACCTGCACCACCTCTCGGCTTTATACGGCCTCTTGTTCCCACACTAAACTAGGCGCAGCAGTGTATCAGAGTACAGCTATGCCACCGCCCAGAGTGTGGCCACCGACCTGTCCCGCGCCGCCGATCCGCGCCTATCTTCTATCCGTGACCGTGACAGTTCCGAGGCTCGAATGCGCTCCTATTCGGACACAAAAGCCATGGACAGGGCTATCACCGAACTTCAAGAAGCCCACATTGTCGGGCTCCGTACTTCGAGTCTGGAACTTCTCCCCGTGAGCTCGGCTTCGGAGCACGCAGCCTCGTCTATTGAGGGCAGCAGGTTGGCCACGCGAATGGTCCCCGTCCACACCTTACCCGTCACCAGGCGCCTCAGCACCGGCCCCAACGTCAGTTCGGATAGCAATAATACCCTATCAGGCCGCACGGACGCCAGCGCCAAAAGCTCGTCTGATGCTACGCCCCTTGTGACGCGCCACACCTCGCCCCTTTTTTCCGGTGCACAAGGTCGGCCAAGTGCCGGGGTCACTTGCCTTTTTTGACGTTGCTGGACCACCAATCTCAATGTCTCTGCACGCCTCCTGTAGGTGACGCCACGGCCAAGCTTGGGAAATTGGGCGCGTCCCGCTCGTCCGCGCAGTCCAACTCGCACGTATTCAACAACAACATCCTTGCTGAATACTTGGGTGCGTTGCGCGCGCCATGAGCGATGCCATGTCGGCTATGCTTCGTTTGGCAACCACCTACTTCTTTTGCGGTGTCAACGCTTCACATTGGCGTTGCATACTTTCTTTACAGGTCCACCGCAGTTGCAGCTTCCCGTTAGCTTGTCTCGATCAGCACTCACGCAGCCCTGGGGGCTGCCCGTCATCACCGTCCAGTGTGCCACGGAGGCCGTTGCAGGCTTTTCACGATGCTTTCTCAACCAAATGCCGCCCAGTAGTCCACACAGTCAAATCATGTACGTTAACGCCGAGGCAGCACAATGTTGGGTGAGCTTAGCGGAATACGATGGCTTGACTGACCTCGCTCTTCGCAACCGGGCATAGGTTTGGAGATGAAATCGTGGTCATCAACGGCATGCCTGTCGCCTCAATGACTAAAGCACAAATCATTCAACTCTTGCAAAGCAGCTTGCAACTCTCCCTGCTTCTCTTTCGCTATGCCAATGCGGTATGCGCGCTGTCTTTAAAAGTCTGGCTAGCCATCGCACGCATTGGCTGCTGTGTCTTTTCGTTTGCATGGCCCTCACGTGAATCATCTTGCTGCGCGTATCCACAGGCTCAGGCGCTGTATTCGGCCAGCATTTTAAATGGGGGAGAGTCCAGCCCCACACTGCCGACACCTGATGACCAGAGAGGAGCCATGCCAGTTACACGCGACGACAATGGCGAGCCTACGACCTCTGACTCTGCGGCCAACTCAGCGGCCAACTCAGCGGCCAACTCACGCCGCACATCCATCTCGATGGATGTCGAAGCATCCAATCGTGATTCTCGTTTTGTGTTGGAGCCGACCAAGGCTGCTGAGATTGCGGCCAAGTTTGAGCAGAAATTGGGCAAGACGGTTATTGTTCTGCAACTGCAACGCGTGCGTATTTCAAGTCTACTCGATTGACGTGCTTGTTTGCCCTACTGCTTTGGCCAACTGATGCTGGCTTGGTAATCCGTTCTTGGCCGCATTTCAGGAAAGTGCCGACATTCCCTGGGGCTTGCGCCTGAGCGCTCGTGACTCGGCCCGTCTGCACCGTGGGGTCTTCATTGCTGGCTTTGATCCTGCTGGTGCTGCGACAAGAACCGGCCAGATTGAGATTGACGATCGGGTACGCTCACTTCAGCCCTGGCGCCGTCAAACGCAAATCAATCTGTGCCAGTGTGCAAGTGCAAGCGAATGTCACAGCACAGGGGAGCTAATCCAGCTGGCTGGTGGTCTTAGATTTGTGCATGGGGACCGGCGCGCATGCTCAAAGCCAACGAGGCAGATGCACAACGCGTAAGCTGCCTGCTTGGGGATGCGGTCCTTCATCATGCAACATACACGCCTTGCACCCTGGTGTGATTTCACTCACACGAGCTTGGGACCAACACTGCAACAACCATGTAGGTCTTGAGCCAGCCAGCCCTGGAGGTGACCTGCATTCTTGCCAAACACAACTCAAGCTAGCTGCATTTCTTCTGCCAGCCTTGAGCCTTGTGTTTTGCATCACCCTTGTCCCTCCACTCTTTGTCATTCCTGATCTCTGCTTGTGCGATCGTCCTGTCCGGAAATCCGCATGCGACCCGAGTTGGGGCTTTTTTGAAGCTTGATGTCGACATTATATTATTTCGATCGAGCATGGCTCTTTACATTACTAATCCATCATCCTGACCACCGCTTTGGAATGCTCCTCGGCATAATGACACCTTTGCGTGTTTGTTGTTTTCAAATGACAGTAAATTCGAAGTTGTGGCACCCCTACTTATGTTCGCTGGCCACGTACAGCACAGGTGTACAGATACATATGCGGCAGTTCAGGCAAACTCAGACTACAGCATCAAGGCCGCCAGGCTTTTCTTGGCGGCTTCGACCTGCTCAATCTTGTTGACAGTCTTTTCCAGGGTCGCAGCTAACTGGTCGGCCCGATGCACGAGCTGTTTGATGACTGAAGTGACGTGTCCCCCGCGTGCTTCGGTCAGCATGTCCAATACCTTGTCCAGCTCCTCTTCCGTAGCATGCATGGTCTTGAGGAGTTTGCCAGCCTCCTCCTTGAGGAGCTGCAGGCGGATACCATCAGAGAGCGTGGCATCATGAACGATGCGACGGAAGGCCTCGCGAAAGAGGGGACGTGCTGGCTGAATGAAGAGTTGTTGGCGATACACGGGGATGGCTTCATCATCAGCCTTCGGTTGGCTGCTAGCCAGCCAGCTGCGGCTCACAGGTGGTGCCTCCACCGGCACCGAGCGATGCTGAATGCGAATAAGACGGGCACGCTGCATGGCATACAGGGCCGTATCATCGCCGTTGAACGTGTCAGAATAAAGCATGCGCTCAAAAGGAATCTCCTCGTCTTCAGCCAGTTGGGATACAAGCTTCCAAGCTTGTTGCAGGGTCCAATGGGCATCCGTCTTTGGTCGCGTGGTCAGGGCATGACCAGCCACAAAGGACACTGCCTTGGACACCATGTCATTCAAAGCCTCAGCCATGGGTTGGTGCAAAAACTCGACGCGGCGCACGAGTTCGTTAATGTCGGACAAGCGTCCACCAAGCACACCAGAGACTGCGGCAATTTGCTGATCCGTGACCTCAACATGGGGAAGGTTAAGTTGCATGAAATTCTTGGCTTGTTCGGCCGAAGCATCCTCGACCTGAAGCACCGCCGTTTGCACGCGAGTTTCCTCGGCGTAGTCCTCTGCAATGTTCTCGTCACACAAAAGTACCACGGTGGCCAAGCGCTCGTGGCTGACGGTAAAGGCCCAATCCATGAGCTGTTGAGCAAAAGCCGGATGATCATTGAGGAAGACAGAGTCGAGGCCATTAAGAACAATGAGGGGCATGTCGCTTGCGCTGCGAGCCGGGGTCGTAGTTGCGGGGCCATTCGAGGTTGGGGTGACTGCCTTGGCATTGCCGTTGCTCTTGCTGTTCCACTTGCGGAGGCTTTGCAAGACCTTGGAAACACAGTCCAAGACCTGGCGCACGTGTGCTTCCGTGGAAGCTTGTGGTGCCACGACACCCCGCGTGGAGACCGCAAGGAGCTCCTCAATCATGCGCTGCAGCTTGTACAGCACCGTCAGCGAAGGTTTGTATCTAACATGTAAAGAAAAAGAACATACGCAGAGATTGAGTTGTTCAAACGGCACAAACGGCAAGGAAAGAACCCATTTAGGCTCGTGAACCATGATGGCATCAACACATTGCAGCGTGAAAGATAAAGCTAGTCGGCATGTGGCATGAAAGGCCAAGGACTGACCCGACAGCTTGTTTGAGGCGCTTGAGCAGTTCGGCATCTGAGACAAAGGTATCAGCACGTCGAAAGTCGAGATGTAACAGGTTGGTAATTCCTTCCTCACGCACCAGAGCACGCATGATGGTTGTTTTGCCACAGCCCTGCGCGTGGTGCTGTACGTGAGAATGGCGTTTTGTATAAAATTGCTTCAGGGGGGGCCTTTCACTCAGAAAGGGCAGAGATTAGGCTGCAAAATGCCACCAGCTGACGACAGGAAGCACTAACCAAGGGGCCTGCCAGCATGATGACTTCATCCGAGTTGGAGCTCGTCGCGACCTTTTGACGGAGCTGCTCCAGTGCTTCCTGTACCGTGCAACAGAGTAGTGCAGACCAAGGGTTGGTCCTGATTGGTCGCAGAAAAAGACAGACAGACAGACAGGCACACACACACACACACACACACACACACACAAGAGACGAGGGAGATTTCGCACCTTGGACCACACGGGAACTTGGTCACTTGAGCTACTGCCAAAGATGTTGCTCACACGCTGAACCAAGTCCAGCGCTTGCGACTTGACAGCATTGTACAATCTGGAAGCAAAAGGAGGTTCGTGTGACAAGAGGACGATCGAGTGGAGCACGGTTGTGGTCGATAAAACGTACCGCAGTTCAATACCACCCATGGCCGGCTTGTTGGCCGTGGCTTCTTCTTGCGCTATCGGAACAACGTTGGCGTTGTAAATGGGTCACAGTCAAGAGAGCGGCTCGTTCATCGCTGCAGGGTGTAGCGTAAGGTAATGGGGTGGCACCAGGAAGGTAGGCAGGGCACGTACGACCAGTGGTATTGAGAACAAAGTCGGGTTCCTCGCCAAACTTGGATTCGGGGGAGAGCAGGAAGCGGTTGGTAATGTGGTTGTAGACGAAAAACTCGCGCAAGGGATCAAACATCGTGTAGGCGAAGGCCACGGTGGCAGAGAGCAGGGTGGGGAGGAGCACACGCGAATAGTTGTTCCAAAATTCCCGCAGGGCAGAGGGTTTGAGATACTTTTCATACGAGATGAGCAGCTTTGTGTCTTGCATCACCTACAAATCAAGAGGCCAAGGGTCAGCCGGGCATTGGAAGGGAGTCATGGACGATGGGAGATGAGAAGCTTTGAAAAAAAGAAAAGAGGAATGGCCGTCATGTTGGGGATGGCAAATGCCAAAAGGAGGACAAACCGCGCGGTGCAGACAATTGCTGGCGCCAATGCTGCCGTGGATCTTGTTATAGGAGGCCGTGCCATAGCGAATGCCCTCTACAGATTTGAAACGCAAGAGCCGTGAGCCCCATGAGTGAGGAAGACCAAAGAAAGGAAGGGGCCTTTGTGAAAGGTGCGAGTGGGTCTAGGCCGACCGCTGTTTTTGGCAATGTTGACGCTGTTGAGGTGGCCATACGGGCGCAAGACGTTGTAGAGTTCTTCCATGTCCATGGCCGGGCCTTTAAAGTCCACACGGATTGTGCGAGTGGGGTAGGCTTCCTACAGCAGTGGCACGCAGGGCGGGCATGTGACAACGGGGCTTGCTCAAAACTCAGTCGGTCGGAGGAAAGCGCACCATGTCGTGGAGAAAGGGCTTGCCCATGACAAGGTGGGCCCGAATCTTTTCCTTGAGCAGGAAAGAGGCCTTGCGCTTGTCCATGAGGTGCTGGCGGATGATATCCGCAGCGCCCTTGGCGTCGTACTGGGACGATTTGAAGTGGATGAAAACGCCGCCCTCGGGTGAGCGGTGCACAATTCTAAGGAGGTCAGCCGGTGAGTCGAGCCAGTGGGAGCTGGAACTGTGGGTTGCAGTGGGCGCACAAGCATGGGTGAGGGTGGGTGCAGACCGTTCAATTTCAATGGCATGGCGCTGGTCCATCTTTTCGATCATGCGCTTCAGGGTTTCGTCCACGTAGGCCATGTCGTAGAGTTTGTGGCGGACATCGATGCGATTCAGCTTGATGGGGTGCTAAAGCAAGGAGGGGTGAACCGCGGCAGTGAGTGCTGCAGCAAGTCGCTGCCTTGGCTTGAGGCACTATGGGATCGAGGCGGCGTGGTTGGGTGTACCAAGTTGGAGAGCCAGAGGACGCCACGATGGAGCTTCTCGACGACTTCCACGTCCATGTCGTTGCTCTTGGGTCGGCTGGCAGCTGGAGGAGGAGGCTCATTCTGGGTCGCGATTCAGAGGTTAGGGTGTGGGTGCAGTGCAGGTCACACACGGAGGGACGGGCCCAGCGATGAGCAAGGGGAAGAACCGCGCGCACCAAAGGAGTCTGTGGCTTGGGTTCCGGTGGTGTGGCAGCTGTGCGCTGGCGGGAAGAGCGTTGGATCCAGCGCCGCGCCAAAGCAGTGTGCACAGGTACCCGGGCCGACCACGCGCGGCCCGCCTGCAGACCTGGGCGCATCCAAGCACGCAGTGCCATGTTTGCCAGGTTGTTTTGGCTTTAAATGGGGCAGTGGCGCCCACGGCGAGAGAGCCACCAATCAATCGGCAGCAGCAATCCAGCGAGCCCTCGTGGTTCCGCTCGATCCAGCAAAAGAACTGGCGCGAGTCTGCATACAACCCCCTTTTCCCCCGCCCGCTGTTCCTTTCGTCTCGTCGCCACCTCAAAGAGCAGCAACACCTCTGCTGCAACCGGACTGCAACTGGAGCCCTCTTCCGAAATCATCAAACGCCTCTGTCTCTCTGTCTCTCTCTCTCTCTCTCTCTCTCTCTCTCTCTCTCTGTCTGTCTCTCTCTCTCTCTCTCTCTGTCTGTCTGTCTCTCTCTCTCTCTCTCTCTCTCTCTCTCTCTCTCTCTCTCTCTCTCTCTCTCTCTCTCTCTCTCTCTCTCTCTCTCTCTCTCTCTCTCTCTCTCTCTCTCTCTCTC